CAATAACGAAAGAGAAAAAGAGTAGCTGCTGAGCCTACTTATGTACAACCAAAAACTTCATGGGATTTGATTTCTTGGTTTGGAGGTTTAGGGTCATAGTTTCATGGGACATCCCAGTTAATTGGTCTAATAATATGTTTAGTGCTTCTGTTCTACCTCCTAGTTCGTTGTGTAGTGCCTGGGGTCTTAAAAACTTGGAAGCAGCCATCCAAGGCACAACGATTGCTCTCTATTCGCCTGGAGCAACAGAGGGAAGAAAGAGAGTTAGGAATAGGAGGAAGATATGGCATGTGTGGCTAATTGCCTCCATGAACAACTGCCTCCTTTTCCATGAGACCAGAAGAATTGGTTGGTGCCTGGCTGCCATTACTGAACATTTTGATCAAAGATTCTCTAGAAGAATCCTGATCAAAAGGGAGAAAATGCAGAACAGAATTTCAAATTCTTATGGAATCTAGACTTCTTGGAGCCATGAATGTTGGATGAACCCCTGAAACTACTGCCCTGAGATAATATTTAAACCTTAAACCAAAAATATCCCTTGAAGTCTTCTTAAAATCAAACATTAGTTTAGCTTAACTAGTACTAAATGTCTGCCTTGAACACTATGCTCATTTAAGAACTATCTACACAGGATCAAAATGATAACAGCAACTTGCAAGATTAGATAGGAAACTTAGGGGACAATGAATTTATGTCAGTGGGAGAGGAACAACTCAGAAAAGGATGGTGAGAATAGTTGCGCAACTTGAAGAACGTAATCAATGTCACTAAATGGTACATGTAGAAATTATTGAATTGGTGTATATTTTGCTGTGTATATTCTCAATAAAAATAAAAAAAAAATTGTTACATTTTACCAAAATAAAATTTTAAAAAATATATTTTTTTAAATGAGTCCCTGGGTGGCACAAAAAGTTAAGTGCTTGACTACTAGCCAAAAGGTTGGCAGTTCAAACCCACTCAGAAGACAGGTCTGGCAATCTGCTTCTGCAAGGTCACAGCCTGGAAAACCCTAAGAAGCAAGTTCTATTCTGCACACACGGGGTCATCATGAGTCAGAATTGACTCCACAGCAACTAATAACAATGCGTGTTTATTATTTTATTTAAAAATTCTACTGTAAAGAAGGGGAAAAAAACCCAACTACTACCATAGCCACTACATTCCCACTTCCCAGAGATGATCTCTATTAACAAATTCTTTGTGTATTTTCCCCATTTTTTTCTTGGAATTTTTATTACTTTCAAGGTCGTTTATCGTTCTCACAGCATCTCACAACCTTGTTTCTCGTTCATCAGCCAATGAATTAAAAGACATGTACTTTCAAAGTATTTCTCTAATAAACCTGTTTTCCTCCATTTATCCTGTCCCTCAGTAGCACCTATCCTGTATCTCTTCCCTACAATCCCTCACGTGCATAATCACACGCTTGATCACGACCCACAGTGATCCTTGTTTGCCATCAAGTAGATTCCAACTTACAGTGATCCTCAGTATCTATGGACAATCAAATGTCTACAGATTCAAGTCCAAATATTTCAGCCCAACAAAGATCCCAAGGGTGACACTAACTTCCTTTTTCAAGTCTACCTTTCACTAATGCCCTGCATAAACCTTTCACTTATCATTTAGCAATGACTTCAGCTGGAGTAAATAAAAAAACAAATGGGAGCTAATTTTCTTAACAAGTTAAGTCTGGAGGAGGCAGGTTTGGTAGCAGCACCCTATAACATCAACGGTCTCTGATTTCCTTGGTCTTCCCCTCAGGGTCAAAAGAAGGCTGCTAGAACCCTAGCTTCAGCTTTAATTCAAGGCCAAAGAAAAGGAAAGAAAAAGATTGCACCAGACATTTCTGTTTCCAATGACCACAAAAGAAAATGTTCCCTAAAATTTCCTGACACTTCATTGGTTAGAAATGTGTCACATGAATATCTCTAGCTGCAAAGGAAGCTGGAAATGCAAGTATGTTGCCTAGGGCTAGGCTTAGCCATGCACAAGAAATTAGGGTTCTGTTAACAAGGCATATGGATGGTGGCTGTATACTGGCTACACATTAATCCAGTGTTGGAACACTTACTAGTCCTTAAATATTCTTGATTACATGCCTTTGTCAAACATGGAAGAAAAGAGAGATGGAAGGAGTAGGACTTGGCTACAGACACCTTCTCAGCATTTTTTCTCTCTGCCTTTTCCTCCACTTGTGACACTGGACATCTGTAGTTGGTTAACCATTTACTCTGAAATGGGGATGCCCACAGCTGGGAACTTCAACTTGGTTGAAAGCCCCTGAGGACCATATTAAACAGCACTCAGCCAACATCTTTTGCTCGCTACTCTATATCACATTTGCACTTCTCTGCATTTAACACAACATTTAATTTTTTTTTTTAAAAAAGAACTCTGCATTACAACCGTATCAGAAATTTAATAACTTTGTTTTATAAGTTCCTGTGCATTTTTCTAACTCCATTTAGACTTACGCGCTGCATTCTGTATCTTTTAGAGGTACTCTTTCAATATCAAATAAGAAAGTATATGAAGGAGAGAATTTTAGATTTTCGGTGCCCCATTCGGTGGAGAAACGAGGACAAGGAACAGGTGGAAAGGCAGTTGAAAGAAATGGACAGCTGACCTCTTTCAAACGAAGAAAACTCCCAAGTCTACAGAAAGATTGTCTAAGATATAAAATTAAGGCATTTCATTGCTGGATCCTGTTGGGAAACTGTATCCTCACTTTTAACAAGACCACATCAAACCAGGGATGGGGCTTCAGGGCCAAAGGGTGGGGAAGGAGGAGAGTGGGAGGTAGGATAGTGGGAAGGAAGGATCAATATGAAAAGTACCCACAAGGCAAGATGAATGTTATAAAGGTAGATTAAGAGATAGAAAATGGTGGTCCTATAAAATCTACCATTTCTCTTTCCAAAATTATAAATTTCAATTTTTATTTGCCTCATCACATAAAAACCAAAGTAAAACCCATTGCTGTCAAGTCGATTCCAACTCATGGTGACCTACGTGTTACAGAGTGAACTGCTCCTTAGGGCTTTCTTGGCTATAATCTTAATGGAAACAGATTGCCAGGCCTTTCTTCCAGGACTGCTGGGTGTGTTCAAACTGCTAACTTTTAGAGTACAAACCATTTGTGCCACCAGGGACCTTGCCTCATCACATATGCACTATGAATACATCCATCATTATGTCGATATGTAAATACATGAATGTAGAATGTCAACAGACACCTTCCTTTAACTAAAACCTAATTTACAGAAATCTAAATTAACAGAGATTACTTATATTATGAATTAATTCTTCACTTTGCCAAGATTTTTTTATGTATAATGAAAGGTCTTTCCTGCAGTTGTTATAAAGTTTAATCAGGAAAAACTTTGTTTATATCCTTTAAGGAATTTACTATTTAAAATGAGCCTTGTCTTTGCTGTTAGTTGCTGTTGACTTGATTTATTATACCATGCAGAGCAGAACTGTGCCATAGCGTTTTCAAGGCTTTAACCTTTTGGAAGCAGATCACCAGGCCTGTCTTCCAAGGTGCCTCTGCGTGGGTTCAAACCACCAATCTTTCGGCTAGTAGTCAAGCACTTAAACCTGTTGCTGTCGAGTTGATTCCAACTCACAGTGATCCTATAGGACAGAGGAGAACTACCACATAGGGTTTCCAAGGTGGATTCAAATGCTGACCTTTGGGTTAGCAGAAGAGCTCTTAACCACTGAGCCACCAGGGCTCCAAGAGATTATCAAATAGGAGTCCCTTTTATCTCATTCTTTCAAGGACCCGTATCTCAATATCTTAATCCCCAAAATGTATGCAGACCTTAATTTTCATAGAATGGCAGAGATTATAGGGTTATGGAAGATGTTATCTTTCAAGGACAGGGAATGACCCTGACAGATACAACTCACCAACTTACTTTAGCAAAGGAATGACTATACGCTATTACATTTTGGTTTTTAAAAAAATCCTTTTAGCAAAGACCTTGTCTTAAATTTAGTTCTGTATTTCTAATGGCAAACACAGTCCCTGCTGCATGTGTGTGTGAAACTGACGAGTCGTTTCACTCTATCTGAACCCTGCCAGGATGTGAGATCATTAGGACACTCTGTGCTATTGATGATAAATGACAGTGACTGAAATAGGCAGCAGGGGGTAGAAGGGAGGCATAAAGATGAGAAGCAAAAACCTCCATGGTTGGAGGAGTGGTGGTGATAATGATTTATAAAGAAAATAATAATACATCTTATATTTATTTCATGATTTTCAAAATACTTCACAGGAGTCTTATCTCATTTGCTCCTCAAAATTCCCCTGTAGTAGGAGATTTAATATATAAACCTCATAATTCAGAGAGAAAAGGAAATGCAATACTTCTACTGTAAAATGTTATGTGCTGCTTAAAGGGAAAAATTACCAGGTTAAAGTGTTTCCACAAATAAGAATGAAGGGTTATACTTAGGCAACCAGATAAATATCTGGCTTAATTTTCACTAGCTTGTCATTTTCAAAGGAAATTTTGGATTCAGGAAATAAAATAAGCATTTAAATGTCAGGAAAATTTAGATATGATGAATGTGTTCTCTCTCCCCAAATAATTTCACCCTCCCTTCAATACAAAAAATAAAAACTCAAACCCACTGTCATCAAGACGATTCCAACTCACTGCGACTCCGTAGGGTCTCCACGGCTGTAAATCTCTAAGGAAGGAGACTGCCACATCGTTCTCCTGTGGAGAGGCTGGTGATTTCGAACCGCCGACCTTTCGCTTAGCGGTCGACGGCTTTAACCAGCTCGTCCTCAGGGCTCCTACCCCTCCCCCTACCCTCAGGATTTAAAACGCACGGCAGCATTTCTAAACTATTGTGTAAGCCACATGGTAAAAATTCTCCCCCCAGATCTCAACAACAACAATAAATGGATTTACTCAGTTGAATGTGTTTCAGACATGTTATTTCAGGCACTTAAGCTCTGGCAAACAACTTACCTTAAAAGTCTCCACCACCCCTTTTGATCCTCCTTCTCTCGGACATTCTGCGGAGCATCTGTGATTGCAGTCCTTAAAGAAGAAATAAAGCTCCATTAAGTAAAACCTGGTGGGAAATTGGGGCTTGGGGTAATCATGACTCACCATGACACCGTGTGCTGTGCTCCGGTACCCAAGCAAACAGGAAAAGGAGAGCAGGAGGATCAGGAGGCTCTGATAATCAAACAACCAGGCACTGGCCCCACACAAGAGCTTCCTGCGACTGTTGCCCTGCACTTTCTACCCTGTCCGAGGTGGTGGCTTTTTGTCCTCCTCCACTGGCTTAGAGCCGACCGGTCAATTTCCAGGTTAGCCCTACAAAGCCAGAGTTCACCAGCAAAGAACAAAAAGACAATTGTTTCACTTATATCCGAGTAAATAGTTGAGGCTAGGGTTTTAAGCCATTTATAGAAAAATCTCCTGGGCGCGCTCAGCCTCGTGGTCTTGTCAATCACCGGCGCACAATAGCAAGCTGGGAAAAGGGATGGGGACGAGTGCGAACCATTTTCTCCATAGGCAGGGTCCTCCAATTCAGGCGCATCGACATCAAATCCCACACTTTAAGGACACAGGGCATAACTTGATGAATTAGGGAGTTATTTCAAAGATAGTGAAGGACACAAGGACAATGGAATGGGGACGAATTGGGGAACGGTGCAGACATTTAAAAAAAATAAAAATAAAAACGAAACCCTAATCGGCTAAATTACTACAGGAGGAAGGAAAGAAGGCAAACCAAGGAGGCAGAAGGCTGCAGTCAAAATATTTTGAGGTGGCGAAGGCACGGTGGATGCAGCTGTCAGTTTTGGCCTCCCAGAGATCTCGCTCCCGCCTCCTCCCCCAAAGCGGCTTCCATGGCTACCCGCAGGTCCCCTTGAGCGGGTCACCCGGCGGCGTGTTCGCAGGGCGGGACTCTAGATTTCAGGTAAGGATGTGGGAAGAGGAGACCGAGTGGAGGCGGAACGGTGGTGGGAGGCAAAGCAGGATGGTGCCGCAAACGGCAGCAGTGCACACGGCCGTGCCCGTAGGCTTTGAAGACCGGGTTCCAAGCCTCTCCCTCCCGCAAACGTCCACGGTCGGGGTACCTGGCGGGCTAGGGTTGCGGCGGCGTCGGGCGGGCTGGCCATGGGGAGGCTCCAGGCGCGCGGGGCTGCAGAGGGCGGCGGAGGCGGCACGCAGCGCGCGGCTGGACGCGAAAGCCGGCGACGCGACTCAGTCCCGGCGCAGAGCGCGCGCGGAAAGGGATGCCACAGCCCGGGGCCCCGCGCCAGAGACAGGCGCAGGGAAAGCCGGAGCCCCTCCAACATCCCTGGGGGAGGAGCCTCCAACGGTCTTGTCCCTCTTTTTCTTTAATCCGGAAAACCAAAGCCGTATTCCCTGCCACCGGGTTTCGTGTTGGGGCCCAAGAGTGCACGCCGCGAGAGAGCGGTTTTCCAAGTGCAGGCACTTATCGAGCATCGTTATTTACCAAATAACCTCTAGGTGAGCCGAAGCGTCCCTGCGACAAGATGAAAGAAACCTCAGGGAAATTCAGGGCAGCTTTTCCGTTGACCCCGGATCAAACCGACCAAAGGCAGTTTCTGCCCCCGACAGTTTGCAGCTTAGGGTTGGTATTTGTGCATTGGCTCTTGTCCACTACCAACTCCCCACGTGCAGACTAAAGAGGGAGAACGTGAATCTGCTTTGTAACTCGGGGTATTGCGGGGCCACCAGTCTACCATCCTCTAAGAGCTGTTTCTGTCACCTAGACCCAGCCATTCATCGTTTTCAGGCAAAATAGACTATAAAGAGATCCCAGTCGTACTGTTTGGGTGGTTTACTGATGTAGGCTCATAATAGCAGTAATTGGAAAAAGGACTGCGAAAGAGAAATACTACTAGGTTTAGAAAGGGAAAAAAGAAGATTGAAACAGCTATTGTCTGCTCTGCTGTGTTCTCCCCGGACAACATTAGCCTAAATTATGAGCCTTCTCGGCTTCTAAATTAATAGGAAGTGAGTGATAACGCCGGCTGACTTGACCTTGGAAAGGTGGAAGGGCAGTTTATTTTGGGTAGGAGCGATTAAATCCGGCTTGGTTTTAGAATTGATTTCCTGCAGCCCTAGAAGGCAATAGAGCTCTAATTTTATCAATTCAGAGGGAAAGAAAGAAACAAAACACTCCTCTTCCCTTCCCTCTTATGCTGTGGTGGGATCCCAAGTTCCAAAGACCACACAGAGCCCAGGCAGGTCACGTGACATCATAGTGGGTCGCTGAAGATCAGAGTAAAAAAATAGGCTTTATTTTTTAGGGCAGTTTTAGGTCTGTAGAAAAATTGCACAGAAAGTACGGAGTCCCCGTGTACCATCCCCAACAGTTTCCTCTATTGTTAACTTCTTGCATTCCTGTGTTACATTTGTTGGAACTGATGAACCAAATCTGATACATTATCATAATAATTTGCATCAGGGTTCACTCTTTGTGTTGTACAATCCTATGGATTTTGATGAATGCGTAATGTCATATATACACCATTACAGTATCATGCAGAATAATTACACTGCCCTAAAAAGGCCCAATGGTGATGGAAAACTTGAAAATGGATAAGGGTGATGGTTGAACAACAAGATGAAAGTAATGAATGTCACTGAACTGTAGATGGGAAGAGTTGAAATGGCAAATGTTTTGTTATATATACATTTACCATAATTTAAAAAGAAAGTCTGTGTATTCCACCTATTCAACCCCCCACCACCACCACTTTCCTTGAATTTTTGCCAGCCACTGATCTTTTTACTGTCTCTATAGTTTTGCATTTTCCAAAATGTGATATAGTTGGAATCATAGAGCATTTTCAGATTGGCTTCTTTCACTTAGCAATATAATTTAAGATTCCTTCATGTCTTTTCATGGCTTGATGACTCATTTATTTTAACTGCTGAATAATAGACCTTTGCATGTATGTTCCACAGTTTGTCCTCTTAGTTGTTAATGGACATCTTGGCTGCTTCCAATTTTTGGCAATTAGGAATAAACCCAAAAAACCGAAACCTACTGCCATCGAGTTGATTCCAACTCATAGCAACCCTTTAGGACAAAGGAGAACTGCCCTATAGGGTTTCCAAGGCTGTGATCTTTACCGAAGCAGACTGCCACATCTTTCTCCAGAAGAGGGGCTGGTAGGTTCGAACCACTGAACTTTTGGTTAGCAGCCGAGCACTTTCACTACTGTGCCACCAGGGCTATAAAGCTGCTGTAAAATTCAAGTACAGGTTTTTGTGTGGACATAGTTTCCAACTCATTTGGGTAAATACCTAGGAGCTCGATTGCTGGATCATATGGTAAGCCTGTTTAGCTTTGTAAGAATCTGCCAAGCTGTCTTCCAAAGTGGCTATATCATTTTGCATACCCCCACCCCCCAAAAAACAAACAAACCAAAAATGTACAGGCTAAGTAAACACTAGGGTTGCCAGTTTTCGACCCTTACCCATGGTTAAGAGTGAAAAAACGTTAGTGGAAGAGTTATAAACACTTACTTTTTTTTAATTGAAAGTCTTGAATGTCTACACTATACTTTCATTCAAAGCCTGTTTTTTCTAATGTAGACAATACCCAATCCCAATTTTCTTGCTATTTTAAAACGTCTCTGGGTGGTGTAGTGGTTTGCACTCTACTAACCTATTTTAAGTGCTACCTATAATTGCTGCTTGTCAAATCAGTCAAGAAAGAATGCTATTATTAAAGAATTACCTCAGTGCTGACCTTTCCTCCCCTTCAGCTAGGAATTTCATGAAAGTGCCATCTGTATTAACTGCTTGTATTTCCTTCCCCCTTCAAGAGGCTATGGAGTTTCTGAGTGGTGCAAATGATTAATGTGCTTGGCTGCTAGCCAAAAGATTGGCGGTTCGAGTCTACCCAGAGGTATCTTAGAAGAAAGGCCTGGTGATCTACTTGTAAAAACTCAGCCATTGAAAACCCTGGGGAGCATAATTCTACTCTGACACGCATGGGGTTGCCATGAATTAGAGTTGGCAACTGATTTTTTTCTTCCAAAATGCCGTAATTTGACTTCTACCCAATTATTCCACCCAAACAAGGTGGGATAGCCTTTATTTTGCTCAACCCAATGGTTTTGCTTCTTGTGCCTTTTCATAGCTGCACCTATATGCTGAGAACACCCGAATATATGTTCAGCCCACCTCTCTCCTGAGCTCCAAGTACTTAGAGTCAAAAATCTGTCTAAAATACGTATGTATCACATATCTACCATTTGTCAGGCACTGGTCTAGGTGCCAGCGATGGGTTCTAAGCATGTCCCAATCCTAACACCAGGGACTGCCCTCAACCCAGAAAGAAAGATGTTAATTATGTTAAAAGGTGTTAACAAATCTCACAAACAAATGTTTAAAACTGGTATGTACCTACGCTATCAGTGCCTCTAGTAATGGAATGTAACGTAGTCGGAAAGCCCTGGAAAGTCAGAAAGTCTTAAATTATCCTTAAGAGAACTGGAGGATTAGAAAAATTAAGGGAAGAAAGGACGAAGAGTGTCTTGGATGAAAATGTGTTCCAGGTCAAAGGAATATCTCTGAGGAGGGAAGGAACAGGGTGCTTACAAAAGACCAAAATACAGCCTGAGTGGCTGGAGTGGAGTGAAAGGGAGAGAGTTCGGTCCAAGGTGAGGTTGGATGTGTAGGCAAGGGTACATCCAACCAGTAGTGCCTTAGACAGAGAGTTGAAGATTAAAAAAAAAAAAAAGGCATTATCATGGCTGTCATACAGATGTAAAATGAACTTGTATTAAAGAGTTTAGCTGATTTAATGAAGTAGTCAGGTAGATGTTAAAACTGACTCTACATTTACAGATCAGGAATATAGAAATGAATTGTAAAACTAGCTTCTTCCAGAGCCAGGGAGAGAAGTCACCTGAATGTGATTTAGGAAATAATATTGGAGTTATTATTCCCTGTCCTTGAGCATAGAGAATGTGACCCAGCTGGAGCTGGGCTCACAAGGACACATCAACTAGGCCCTGAGGTATAAAGACAGTAGATGG